ATCCAGTGAAACCACTTTAGCAGCGTCGTTCTTTCCTCCATTCATGTCTGCAATCTTTTGCCAAGACAGCACAGAAATATCAAGAAGTGTTACATTGTCGCCCGTGTCGGTTCTCGGGTCTTCTTCCACATTTTTCAGTGACCGTATTGGTGTTTGATGGCTCTGTGATCCCTGTTCCCTTTTAACACCGAATAAATGGGGCATTTGCTTGGGCTCACGATGAGTTTTCACAGTCACATCTGTCTGCGAAATACGGAAGGGCTCATCTTCCTCCTTGACAAAAGACGTAGGTTTATGCCTAGAAATGCGGCGTTTCTTCCTCAGATGTGCTTTGATCATTGCCACCCTCCTGTATTCAATATCATCAGCATCAGCTTCAGGAGCAAGATCAAATGGACTCTGAAGAAACTCATCCAGAAATCCGCGGCTCCTCTTTCGGCTCCTCTGATTGTTGCGGTACTGTATTCTGAAATTCTTGAGACTTGACCGTAGGAGCCTATAGGCTCTTTGGATCTTGCCATCACTACAAAATAAAGGCTCAAAGTTACGAATCCAGGACACCAAGACAACCGGGTCTAACTTCTCTCGCGAAATAAAATTAGTCAATTCAAGAATGAGACCGTTTGTGAGACCAGTTAATTTTGCACGATCAGAAAAGTCAGACATTTCAAGTAAATCTCTTCTCCCGATTCCGATACTATCACATATAGGTCCAACAAATTCAAAGTTGACATCTGACTCAAGAAAGTTCTGCCTGGCATCTCCAGTTAAGCTCAAAGCTGTCGTGGTGTTTCTCTCAATCAAGCTTCGGAAATCCGCTGACTGAAACATTGGGACAATCTTTTGAAGCCACTGAATTAAATCAACCCATGAAATATCTTGCTCCTCTCTCATCAGTCCAACCTGAACCAACATGCGGATTTTCCAGGGCTTTTCATCCAGCTCCAACAGTTCACCGTAATGAGCACCAAGGAAGTCGTCAACAAGCTTGGAGTAAAAATCATCCTCTGCAAGACATAGTTTTCAAATGTAAATAAGCAGATACTTTTTTTTTTTTAAGTTGTTTATTTAGATAGGAACCAACATGCGGATTTTCCAGGGCTTTTCATCCAGCTCCAACAGTTCACCGTAATGAGCACCAAGGAAGTCGTCAACAAGCTTGGAGTAAAAATCATCCTCTGCAAGACATAGTTTTCAAATGTAAATAAGCAGATACTTTTTAAAAAAAAAAGTTGTTTATTTAGATAGTAAGTCATTGAATACAAAACAAAAAGTAGTACTCACTAAGCTCAGCAGCAATGGTCTTAGCACTCGCACTAGAGGAACCAAAGTCTTGCAGGTCCTCCATAGTTGAACATCAAAGTGGCTTGGCTTGTTTTTTAAACCATCTGGTGGAGCACGCTTCCAAATAAAGGCCAGATAAATATTTTAGTAATAACGACCAAAGAATGATAGTCCACAGCTGATCTTAATCGTGCAACAAAGATTATCCTTCAGGTTCCTTTTTTTTTTTTTTTACCATGTTACAACAGGTGTACCTGCCTGAGACTGTAGTTTTCCTATTGGTATTACAGGTTTATAATCATTTTCAACTTAAAAATTAATCATCTTCTGCTTTTTCCATCGTTAGATTTACAAGACATATCCTTTGGTATTTATTACATTATTAAATTTGTTTCCTTAAAAGTACACCACGATAAGTTTATGGCAAAATATAACAATCGATTCTAAATACAATACTCTAATATACAACTGTAGCTTGGTATTAGCCAATGCTGTCATCAGAAAATGTATTACAATGACACCTTTCCTACACTTTTTAAAGGACATCCCATATTAACGAATTACCTTAATTTTACAGTCGTGATAATATTTCCAGCAATGGTATCTGTGGTTTCCTTGGTAATATATTGTAAGGGTTATGAATTATATAAGTGTTATGATTACTTGTTGTGCGTGTCACTCAAAAGCACAATAAAATGAATGAAGGATAAAAATAACACTGAAAGAATGGTGCAAAAGTTCAGTTGCATCACTGCTAGCTTTACTAACATAAATCAAGGTCACATATTCTGTCAGCTTGGCAAGTTATTTATTAGTTATCCTGGAGTAGTCAGGGAACAAAATGTTCACGCCTCATTCGTGCACGCGGCTGATTTTGCAAGAAAGGTGTTGTATTATCGACTTCTTGCTATTATAGACTAAATATCTATTTGGCTTGTTTTGGTTTTCCTGTTTGAAATCTCAAGTACTAGGGCTGGAGACTTTGTTCTCTCTAGCGCGCGAGGATGCGTCAATGCACGTATCGTGAAGTTTGAAAACATGCTGTCTGTGTTTGATTGCTATTACTGTGGGAGATTGCCATTAATAAGACGTTTAAACAATGTCATGTAGCAAACGTCTTAAATTTGAAATAAGCATTCAGAAAAAACGTACATTTATTCACGTATTTACAGCAACGGTCATGTTTAAGTGCGAAATCTCGAAATGTACTCACCGACTTATTGTTCGACTGTAGTATTCTGTGCAGCGTGTTTCTCTCTTTGGACCCTTTGCAGTGTGTAGAGAGAGTCGGGGATTCTGATTCAGTAATAATTTTCCTAAAAACGAAGGAGCGTCTACTCTATATCATGGACTTCCCTGTTGAGTCACGTGTGCATCTGAAGAGTCTTTGATTGGACATATTCCATGCATTCTTTTTCGTTAAAAAGGCTATGCTAGTCCACCTTGCTTCAGCGAATCGGTTACAAAGAGCCGGTTCAGTGATTCTTTTGCGTCATTACGTAATCGCGTCATCACATCGACCCCTGGCCAACTAGTGTATATAATATTTTTTGTATTCTAATACCCCCGGTTTCACAGACAAGGCTTAAGCCTAATGCCAGACTAAAATCTAAGTCTGAGCTGTTTCAACTGAAAGAAACTTGCATTGACTGACCTTAAAATATATCAGTGCCTTTATTTTGTCTCAAAATGCACACCAGTAATGTTTTTTCTAAGGCATGTTTATAAAAATTACTTAAATGTCCTAATTGAATTATGGCCTAATCCTGGCTTATTCTAAGCCCTGTCTGTGAAACCAGGGCTGCGTTCAGCCCCGACAAAAACGGTGTAAAACGTTTTTTAAACGGAAACGGTGGTGCGTTGAACACCCTGTTCTGATGACGCAAGAGTTGCAACTATGGCAGCTGAGAAGGCCAAGCTTTGTGATCTTTTTGAAGAATTTTCAGAGCCTGATGAAATCGATTTAAATACGTGTTTAATACTGAAAAAAAAATACGCTCGATGTTAGTCACTGCCCTTGCCCTCCAGAATAAAAGAGAACATCCCAATCAAATGAAGGGATTTGTGGAAACTGTGGTTCCTATCCTCACATTTCAGGATGAAAAGACAAACATTTCAGGTGAAGGATAATCCACTTCTTACCTCCAAGACTGTGTTATGATCTATATGACCTTATTATTTTTATTGTGAGTATTAGGCTTATAATTATTGCTGATCGCTGTTGTTGTGGTATGATATTATAATGTTTACCATTATATAATCAGAGGGGCATAGAAAAGTTTATGAAAGTGTCACTCCATAATACAATAGCAAAATATATAAATATGTATAGTATTTTTATGTTACATTAATCAGTATTTAGCACACCTTCCTAAGGAAAGGATATGGACCAGAAGACATTGCAATTACTAAATGATATTTAGACAGACTTAAAGAAGTTCCAGATCTATACTTGTGCCCTTATTATTTCAGTTATTTTGCCTTTAATGTAAATAAACATGTGCAAACAATATACTTGCTCTTGTGAATTTATTTGGATGTTAATTACATTGTGCGAGCTGTCTCTTTAATACCGCGTGGTTTATACATGTTGCTGCTGATTGGGCTGACATGTTTGACACACCCACCAAACAAGAGAAAACGCATCTCTAAACCTGTTGCACATCGTTGCACACCGTTTCCAGGAAACATGTCGTTCAAACCGGAAACCGTAGCAAAACGGTGCACACCGGTTTGAGCTTGAACTTGCCCCTGGCCATAATGTCTAACTGAATGATTGTGTACTTTGTGGTTTACACTCCGACATGATTGTAATTTTTTTAATATTTGTGCAAAAATAATCTCTCCTTAGGTTTCTTTTCTATGAACTTCCTTTAATAAAAGTGTTTGGTTAAATTCACGGTTTTGTAGCAGCAGTGAGTCCGCTCATAAAACATTAAGTCAATTTTAACGTAAATCTAGTTCTAAAATGTTTAATAAAATGGTATTAAATTGAATAGAAATGGAAAAAAGAAAGAAAGATTCTTGCACAATGTTGTTGACTCGGGAACCCATCGGACCGATTTAGTCCGAGTTGTGAATGAATCGTTCATTCAGGCGGTAATGCGCGACATTGCTGCGATCCGCCAAAAAAAGGGAAGAAGAAGAAGAAGAAGAAGAAGAAGAAGAGGAATCGTTCATTCAGAATCGTGAACAAAAGATTCAGAAATCATTTGCAAACCATCGATTAGACTCATAAGATATTTTGCTGACGAATCTGACGTCTTTAGCCTTTGTATCAGATATCAAACAAACAACGTATATTCCATTAAAAAAAACGACAACGTTTCTGTCCGCATCAGCATGCAGAAATATTTGTTATAATCGTATATTTTATGAAGAGCTGTACGGAGTGCTCTCGTGTTATTGCCTCCTTAATATTAGTCGCTTTGGATAAAAGCATCTTCTGAATGAAGAAATGTAATAATCCATTGTATGGCATATGAAAGGGAAATAATTCAATTATAAAACGATTTAATTTATGTTGGCATAAATTCTTTAACTTTGCAAAATATACTTAACAATTCTTACAAAGGATATGAAGCTCTTGGTTTTTTTTATTTTTTATTAAAGCAACAAAGTTATATAAGAAAATATAGAAAGGTTGGGTAGGTGGTATGAATTTTTTTCTCGGTCTCTTCTGAGAGCAGTGCCTCAAACTCCATCCCAGTAGGTGGCGGAATATGCACCAAAGCTGGTTTGCCAACCACCATTAAACATCAAAGAAGAAGAAGATCGCTGTGTACGAAAGCGGATATGACGACATTCGTTGACCAAAGAAAGCGCACCATGGCGCTTCGGATAACAACAACAAAGGAGTAAGAGGTACCGTCGTGCAATTGTGTTTTAGTAATGGTGCTACTAACTCTAGATTAATTTGCACGACTGTCCAGATTTTCAGCAAAGACCCGACAAACTGCTGCTGAATCTGTTTGCAGCAATACATAAAGAGGAGCTATCTAAGTCGTGCTTTTGCCAATTTTATATATTTTGTTTACAGTCTCATTAATGACCTTTTCCAGCGAGAAGATTTTTAGGGACCAACAGTAAGGCATGGAAAGCACAAAAATGGAGGTATCCAACTCGAACACAGAGCCCGAGTCACTCCAGGCTTCTTCTGCAGAAATGTCAACCACTCAATCCAGCACAGCTGGGACATCCCAGTCTGCACCTGCAAAACGAAAAAGACTTTTGAAAAGAAAAGCGGATTCCGTTGCGGATGACAAAAGCAAAAAGAAACAGAAAAAAACTGTAAAACGAACTATAAGACCAAATTACACCGTCCAGGAGGGAGAGGACATGCTTTTGATTATATCAAATATAAACAGCAGTGACAGCATATGGAAGCCCAAGCGGAAGGGATGTAAGAAAAAGAAGATAACCGCCAAAGGCAAGAGTAAAACCTCCGCTAACAAAACGAAAAAAGCACCAGTAAAAGCGAAAATTCCCAAAGTCACAGAGCAAGCTATTGATAAAAATGTTGATTTGGAGAGTGTTAATGCTGATAGCTTTGACCGCTGGGGTCAAAGTTTGCCAATAGAGGTCCTGGTGAAAATCTTTCAGTTTGCAGTTCTCCAGGATGGAGCCGTACCTTTTCTGTGCAGGTGAGGCATGTACTCTGTATTTGTGATATTCAGTGTCTGTCCAACCTGGCTACAGATACTATATTTGCTTTATGTTTATTGTACATTTGTTTGCTGTCTTTAAAGGGTTGGCAGAGTTTGCCGTCTATGGAATGGAGCTGCATCCTCTCCGATCCTGTGGCGTAGTGTGTCAGTTGGCTACTGCTGGATTGAACCCGGTAAGAGTCAATTACCTGGGACAGAACAGAAGATTAGGAACACTATAGACTGGCTAGCTGAAACCAGGTCAGTGGTTGAACCAAACAAATGTATTTTTTTAATTGGAAGAACTTGAAGACTTTCAGTCTGAGATAATGCATAGCAAAGTTTTTTTTTAATGTCTGTCTCTCGCAGATTGTCTCAGTTGAGAGAGTTCTCCCTTTGCCACTGGAAAAAACATGTTGATTATGTGATTCAGGTAATAATAATCCATCTGCTGTGAAATTTTGTGACTGCTTTCTGAATCTGTTTCTGATGATCTCTGTGCTCTGTTTTTATAGAAAGTTTCACAATCATGCACCAATCTTCATTCTCTCAAGCTGTCTTACTGCACGGGAATGACAGAAACAGCCTTCCAAAACCTTGGTGCTCAATGTCGATCATTAGAGAATATAAATTTGCAACACTCAGAGGTTTGTATGCAAACTGTTTACTTAGATTTGAAGGGACAGTTACCTAAAAATGAAAATTCAGTTTTATTCACCCATATATCATTTCAAACCTGTATGGCTTACGTTCTTCTGCGGAACAGAAAAGAAGAAAGTTAGATGGACTTACAAATTATGGACATATTATTTACTTTATGATATTTTTGTGGGTTTTGAAAAGTTTCGGTTCACGGTGCATGGAAAAGAGTGATCAATATAGTCAGTATATAGTCACATACTGTATATTAAAACCATGGGGTCACAGTCAAAAGGGTATTGGAATGACATGAGAAGTAAATGATGACTGCATTTTCTTTTTAATGTCAACTTTTACTTTAAGAATTTTAATTATTTTGTATTGTTAATTTTTTTTAATATAGTTTAATGTTGATGGTCTGGTGTCCTTCATTGAGGCATACGGCAACCAAATAAAGAAAATTTACTTCACACACAGCACCAAGAGTGACAAACTACTCAGTGCTTTGTCTGTAAGTTGATATTTTTACTATTTACTTTTAATATGTTTACTTCCTCTGCCGTTTAAAGATGATATAAACTTTGAAATATGCTATAAAATGTCTTTATTATATAAAAGTATGTGAATTTGTAAACTTTTTCTGATGATGCAAATGTCTCTGAAATTAAAGAAAGGTTGCTGTCCTGAGCTCATGCTGCTGGAGATCAATACTAAATTAGATGGAGGATACTGCCAGCTTCCCATCTGTATTCAGGCTTTGCAGATTGGATGCCCTAAACTTCAGGTATTAACCTAAAATGTGCTGTGTTCGTCATGTACACAAACCAAATCTATTATCACTCCTTATATATTTTTTTGTAAAAAAAAATGTATTAATTGACATATCGTTAAATATAATTTAGGACCAAGAAAAATAGTGTGCAGCGATTGCATAGCTGGCATTTTTCAGTTGAGTGCACAGTTACTATTTGAAATTCTAAAAAATATTTGCACACACTTCTCTTATTAATGGTGGGTCCATGTACCTATGTATAATTCTTTTTTTTTTATTTAATATTGAAATCTGAAAAATGTAAGTAATTTGTTCAAACAAAACGAAAAATGATACTGCCAGCTTCCCATCTGTATTCAGGCTTTGCAGATTGGATGCCCTAAACTTCAGGTATTAACCTAAAATGTGCTGTGTTCGTCATGTACACAAACCAAATCTATTATCACTCCTTATATATTTTTTTGTAAAAAAAAATGTATTAATTGACATATCGTTAAATATAATTTAGGACCAAGAAAAATAGTGTGCAGCGATTGCATAGCTGGCATTTTTCAGTTGAGTGCACAGTTACTATTTGAAATTCTAAAAAATATTTGCACACACTTCTCTTATTAATGGTGGGTCCATGTACCTATGTATAATTCTTTTTTTTTAATTTAATATTGAAATCTGAAAAATGTAAGTAATTTGTTCAAACAAAACGAAAAATCAAGAATTCGGCTTCATTTTTTGTTTTTACGTTCGGGGACAGAAAATGAATAAACAACTTGAATTTTCGATTTCTACCTGTGGGCGGGAGTGAAACGCCCCTCTTCGCTGATTGGTCAACCAAACATTACAAAATAATAGTCCTTAAAAACATAATAAGAGTCCTCCGCTTCTACGGATTCTTGGCATGTTTATTATTTCTACTACATTTGATCTCTTTCTCTTCATCAAACAGCCAGATTAACGATTGGCTTGACACAAATCGTACCGAGACAGAGCCTAGATAGAGCTTTCTTTTGTGTAGGTATAAATTCTGCAACCTGCCCATGAAATATTAGTTTCTCATAAATATTAATTTACTTCACACCTGCTCTCACAACTACCTACTAGCCTACATCTTTGACACACCACCTTATTTATTATAGCTAACCACCTATTAAAATCCGTGTGGCAAGCTGCGCGATGCACTGCAGCACTGGGAGAATGTATTGTAGACAAGCACAGACCACCAGGGT